ACTCAGAAAAGAGAATTATCACTTCTTTTGTATCAGGGACCTTCAATAGTTTTTCTGCCGAAAAGAAAACGTTCAAGAAAAGTTGAAAGTTCAAGAAAATATGCGCGAATAATGGGAACTCTGGTCGACTCTAACCCACTAAATCCGCGTGCAGTCCTGTCACGTGAATTGGAGGTAATCTTTAACATCTGCCGATCTTAGTTACTACATTTTAGAAAATGTTCACTTGTTTCAATAATCTTAACGATATTTTTGAAATTGCATCAGTCTCACACTTTTTTTTACATGGATTGAAATCTTATTAGATATGCTTCCTTGGGATATCCGAGAATATTATTAAACATGTGGCCTGCAGTAGCAAATATGCTGCTGAACGAAACCACACAAAATTAATTTCAAAAACGAAGCCCGCATACTGCTCAAGAAAAACAAATACGATATTCTTCTGTGATTACGATGCACAATTACTACTAGCATGAAAACTGACACAATAAACAATACACATACGTGAAGATCATTCATAAAGCTAACATAAAAATATTTACGGACCAATTGCTGAAAGAATCATGGGACGTAGTTTATAACACAAATGACACAAATGAAAAATATAATTTAGTTTTTTCAAAGCTTTCATTTCATTTTAACGCGTTTTTTCCTCTTAAAAAAAGAGAAAATTGAACATATCACGGAAACGTACTACTTGGATAACACAAGGAATTAGTACATCGAGTAAAAACAAACCTACGCTTTACTTTATTTCTAAACATGAAAAGGTCTCACCCAGTTTCCATGTCTACTTCCAAGAATATAAAAGAATTTTAAGGTACGTACTAGTACAGGTAACACTAATGAAAAATATTCAAGATATTTTGAATGCTAGTAATAAAACTACAGCAATGTGTATTATTGAAAAAAATACATCATCTCGATATTCTTTAGAGAATGTTGTTTTAAAAGAAAATACAAGTGAAGAAAGTAATCGGGAAAAAGTCTCTTCAACCAACTTTTCCCGAGTTGTGGCTGATCTCACAAAATTCAACATCATACGCTTTCCAAAAATGTTCGACGCGATGTTTATTTCTGAAACTTCTTCAAACAAAATCCTCAGAATAGTCAATAAATTAAACAATACACACTCATCTGGTTTGGATGAATTTTCGGATTGTTTATTAAAAACTTGTGCACCTGCCTTTATACATCCGTTAACTCACATTTTCAATGCTTCTTTATGCACGGGAATATTACCAGATATTTTCAAAACAACAAAAATAAACCACTTTTTATACAAGGGAAGAAAAATGAAATTAAAAATTACTGGAGTCAATATTGTCGTATGACAACGCGCCACTCACATACACCGGGACACCAAGTCCCTCCTCTTAGCCCAGAGTGTTGGGCCATTGCCACGACACTTTCTCTTTTGTTAGTTTTCTCAAAAATATTAGAGAAGCTCTTCTATACGCAAATGGAAACTTTTTCAGACTTACAACACGGTTTTAGAAAATCAAAATCTACAGAAACTGCCTTTTTTTTCTTTTCTTAAAGATGTTGCTTCATTAATGGACCAAAATGAAGCACCCATTTGAATATTTTTATATCTTACGAAAGCTTTAGACGTTATTAGGGAGTTTTAGCGCCAGGCGTACGGAGATATCATTAAACTCTATTGAGCACTTGACTAACTCCTTTATACGGTCGTAATGAACAACGTTCAGAAGAGTTTTAGCAACATTGCGTTATGCATTATAACAAAGGAATTTTCATTTCAAGCGTTGAACAGAGAAATTGCATAACACGAGTATTTCAAAGACTATACACTTGTGGTGAGTCATTTAAAACACGTTACGAGTCATAACAAATATACATTGTGCTTGGAGTTTTACATTTCGTGGCCCTCCGTGATGAGTATGCAGTCTGGAATTTGGAATCTGCTTTTCTTGAAAATATATGAAATACCTTAAAACAGAGTTCGTTATTACCATAAGACATAACCTAACCCGAAGACATGATTTGAATTCCTTTTTCGCGAATTTATTTCCTGTCACCTCTTCAACATATCCTGTTAATTCTTGCCAGCGTTGAGGAGTTGGTAAGGAATAATTGTAACTGCCTCCCATACGAGAATCGGTTTACCAGAGTTGGAAAAATCCAACTTCTCATATTTCTAGGCGGCCATTTTGCCGCATGTAAGGTGACCGTAGAGACTCCCACAAGCGTGCACTATTTATGAAGGTATAAGGTCGTACCTTAGGCCTGAGATAAGACGTTATGACTTCAGGTCCATCACGCGACTGTTAGTGCACAACGCCGCTACCTTACGCGTGGCGCTAAAACTTCCTATTGACCGTAATATCATGTTCTCAAAACTACCTTCATATGGAATTCGTAGTATTGCCCTAGACTGGAAAACCTCGTACCGTAAGTATCTATCTCAAAGAATAGAAATACCGTTCTAGCCCGAAAGGACATTATTTACTTATATTTCCAATTCTTTACCAATTGAATATGGGATCCAGCAAGGCTCGATCTTAGGTTCTATCCTCTTTCTGTTGTACGTAAACGATATGTACTCGTCTATTAAAAATTGCAGAACAGTTGTTTGCCGATGATACAAAAGTTCTTTGCAAAAAGAAACAATAAATAGTACGATTTCAGAAATTTTAAATTGTTTTCATAATACGAAATTAATAGTTAACGAAGGAAAAACGGTGTCAATGAATTTTTGCATTTCAAATAGGCAATCGCCCGCTCTATTGAAAATGAACAATATGCAGTTAGCTCATGATCAGGTAACAAAATTTCTAGGTATCTAAATTCAATCAAACTTCAAATCGAAATTCTGTCAGCATTCATGCAGCTCGTTGCGTGTATTTTGCAAATGTACATTCCCGCCTGAGTTACAGCATATTATTCTGGGGAAGCTCATCATGTAGTACCCAGACCTTTAGATTGCCAAAGAAATAGTTTATACAACTGTTGCTAATCTCGCGCTATTATTATTATTATTATTATTATTAACACCATCATCAAAACCCAGGACCATCTTTTCAGGTACATCCCTCAGAACGACGAGGTTGTCACGCCGTGAAGTGAGAATTATGAGGTTGATAGGATGACGAGGGGTGAAGGGACAACAACGAAGACGACCATGTCTATGCGAACGACTGCCGCCACCGTCTGCGCCTTGGGACGGGAGTTTTTCACTTTTATTCACTTTTCAAGTATTTATAGTTCAAACGTTGGGAAGGTATTCTGAAACTCCTTTCTGTGCTGGTAATTTCCAAAATTTCCTACATACAACATTTCGCATGATTATTAAGAGAACCAATGATGTCACAATGTTACGTAACTTTTGCAATGTCTATAACATAATTTAAAAACAAATTAAATTAATTTAATTCTATCTAATGTGATCGAATTTCACATGACGAATTTGTATTTTTGAAAGTATAGTTATGCACTTGATTTTATAAATTTTTCGCTAGATGCCCTATACCCTGTTTGCATATATCTTTAATTATTATGCAGTGTCCTTGACACTCATCCTTAAAGTGGACTACTGACCCGAGTTGTTTAAGTCCCTTATCCCTCAATAAATCAGTCACATACTCTTGAAAACAAACAATTAGTTTTATTTAGTGTGATAACTTATGTGGGTAGAGCTACCTTTATTTGTAACAGTACTTGTTAATTCAAACGAACTTTCCTTCTGTTGAGATTATGTTTGTTTGCAGGGTGCTTCAAGAACTCTCCAACACAGTATTCTTCAAATTTTATGTTTTCTGTTAGTTTTTAATGAAAGGACTTGAGCTACATGCGTCAAAATAATTGTGGCAACTATACTATGTCGAATAAATGGTTTGAGTCTTGAGAATAAAAATTAAACTTTTTTTAAAATCGCACTGCTCGTAAACATAAATTGCAGTGGCTTGTGGCCCGCGAAACGTCCAAGAGGTAAAGTCACAAAGAACAACTCATCTCATATTTTTTCTCAACGAGAAGGAATAACTCCAACGAGAACGAATATCCATTTTTATACCAAAACAGTTTGAAGCCAAGTAGTTTATTAAGATGTGTGGAATTGTAAAGCGATATTCAAACTACGCAAAGTTCCCTCTCTCGTTTCTGTTTCTCGTTCTCCGCCCTCGAGGCTGATTCGTTCGTCGAGTTCGTTACAGGATACAATAACTCGAACTGTTAAAAGAGCAGCCCTACTGACGAAGTACAATCGAATCTGCTTTACCAACAAATATTCAATTTCAACGTCCACTCAATAGGTTTTAACCCCCAAATCTGTTATTTCTGCTGATGATGGCTTATTTCTGGCTCTGATTCGTGTTTCAATTTCGTACGTAGAATTTTTTAATTCTCTTTTACATGCACAGAGCCATACTGCTAATTTAGCGCTCTACCGCACCTTATCGCAATTAATTACTATCCTCCCTATGCCAAAAAGGGAACAATTACCTTACAAAACCATTTGTAAGGCGGGTAACCCATGATTGAGGAACGAGTAATTTGCCAATGTCAACGTTGACGTAAAGCGAAGTAAAAAAAGAAATAAAAATAAAGAGGGAGCATGAATATGAACACCTTGACACCCTCATCCCCTTCTGCAAATCCATATTCACGAGCGAACTACCACCAGTAGAATCAGAACTTATTCCTGCATCTTATGTGCAAACAACCGTATTACTGGGTATGTTAATATAAAAGTCAGCACTAAACGTATCTACAAAATTATATATTATTATAATCAAAGGAAAGGGAAAAGTGTCATATTTGTGCGAATGCAAATATGTCGCGTGAGTGGTCCACTGCGACGCATCGTGAGGGGGGAGAGGACAGGCCCTGAGGGCCACCCTCCGCGCACGTGCTCCGTTGACAGCCGGCCGGCTTATCGCCCCGCCCCCGGGCACCTGCCAGCCGGCCTTCAGAGGGAAAATGGCGGCTCGCCGGGGGCGGAGGAGGGGTTGTTTGCGGGCGACGTACGCACTTACTTGCGATTCGGGTGGCGCCGGTTTCGCAGCAGCCGCCGTCGAGTAGGCAGCAGCGGCGGCGACGGCGGCGGCGGTGGCACACACGTCCGCGAACCGTCTTCGTGGCTGAAATTTCGCCCGACACCCGTGCCGAAGAACACTGCTAAGCGCTATTTACGCCCGAGCGGCCGTCGCGCGCAACACTAGCGCTGCCGTTCCAGCTGCACCGGGAATGAGACCAGAGAGCGCGGTCGCCAAGACGCTCCACACGCTCTCCCCGACCAGCCCGACGACGGCGCGCGGTGGCGCAGGCCCGCGCTCCGCGGCGCTCCGCTCGGCCGATGCCTGCAAACCACGGCGTGCCAGCAGTCTAGTGCGAATAGTCGCGCCCAGAGGTAGCTTGCCCCAGGCACCGACTTAAATTGGGGCCCCGATTTCTTCTTTCAAAAGAAATAAAAAATGGATTTATCTCTAACGACACGCAAGAGCCCGCCCTTCATTCACACCATCGTCATCAGTGGAGAGGTTTTATAATAATATATTTATTTTGGCCACAATTGGCGTCTTTGCCAGGTGGTAACCAATTAATTACATTATACAAATGAAAATGAAGTGACATTAAATATTTCATTTCATTATACAATGAAAACGAACAATAAGGTAATAGTAAATATAATGCATTACCTAGAACAGTGTATACCCCAGCATAGCAAGAAAGCCTACATTTCATGCGTACACATGTGAAACTCAGACTCTCTGTGCACACACCCAAACACGCACGCACCACGCACAAGTACGAAAAACACACACACGCACACACACAGCATTATTATATATACACATAAATACGCATATGCAATATACACCGATTGTACCACGCGGTATACACATATGTAGCACCACACCACACACATATGTACACCCCAAAAAGTATACTTACAGCTAATTAAATACCAATCTAATTATATTCTATCGTATTCTATTGTATCTAATCTAATCTTAAAATTTATTTCATTTTACTCTATCAGTTGTCTGCTACGTCTTACTGCGCGTCACTACATTATAAAGCCCAGCCCCACACTCCACGTAATATTCTTTATTGTATTTTAACATCGTATTGAGCAATCACACTTCAATTTCCTGAACTGATCACTTCCAGTTTCACTAAAAATATCTTAATAATTTGAAGAAAGATAAAAAATAAAAAATACTATTTGAAGACTTCTTATGCGATTTTTAAAACACTTATACATCTTGCGAAAGGCTTCCATGGACTGTTGCAGGCTATTTGTATCCAATTCCTAATTGTGCAATTTAACAATGCAAATATTACCGCGTATCCAATCGCTGCGTTGAGTTTTTTTCATTTCTCCATTTATGAATATTTTCTCCTACACGTGCCAGGGACTGTTCTAGTCTTCCCACTTATTCCCTCCCACGCTGAGATTTATTATACGCTTTGAAACATACCAAGATAATCTTGCCTTCTTACCTGCGGTACTTAATGATTCGAAGTGTTTGTGTGTCACGTTCCATGCAAACCCTCTAATTGTGAATTTCACTGCCCTTTTTTGGATCTTTTGCTACATTCTTTATGTGAACCTATTCTGTACGATCCCACAAGCTGACGAGTATTCAAGAGATTGGTCTAACTAAGATAGTTTAAGCCAAGTTTTCTTAACTTTCCATTTACCTCTTCTTAAAATTTCATGACAAAATGAAACGATTTCCAAGCTTTTTCTGACTCATAATTTATTATTGTTCCCCCCATCCTAATCGCAACGCCAAAATTATTCCTAATATTTACAGCTGATTACATGCGTGATCAGTGTTCCAGAGATTTCTTAGATAGAGTTTGTGAAACTGATGTCTTACTTTTGTCGCATTTATTCCATTTTGTTTGATCTTAAGCACATGTGATATATTTTATTTAATCCTGTTGACAGTGACGTGCATTTCAGCATGATTCTACTTATTCGGGCGTAATGAACCAATCGTGCGCAGCAAAAGGCGCATTATGAATCTAATAGGAATTGGGGAGATACGTTATAAAGGCTAAAATAACAAGGTCCTAAGACACTTCCACTGAGGAACTCATGAATGTAATTTTTGCCTCCCCAGATAAGTATACTTGTTCCAACTCGGACTTCTGCGACCGCTCTCTCAGGAATCATGCAATCCACTTCACGACCGCCCTAACGTTCCAATACCGGTTATTCTTGCAATTTTCATAAGTAAAATGTTCATGATGCAACAAGATCGAACGCTTTAGAGAAGTCTATTACGATTGCATCCGTCCGTTTTCCAGGGTCCAGTGCGTCAACAATATCTTCACATACAGAAATAGTTTGGCTCTCGCATGAAAATGATTTACGAAAACCATGTTGGCCTTCATACAGCCATCCTAATTTGCCCCATTCATTTCGTAAGTACTCAGCTATGAGATGCTCCATTTGCTTACAAATGACAGAAGTTAAACTCACAGGTCTATAGTTAGAGACGCAAGTGCGATTTCCACTATTAAAATTAGGCACCACAATAGCTCTTTTCCAATCACGAGGAATGCTACAATTGTTGACACTGATTTCAAATAGTCGTGTCAAATATGTAACAATTGGTTCCCCCCCTATTTTTAATAGTTCTCCTGAAATGCCATCGAAACTAACTGATTTGTTCATTCCTATGCTTTGTATCCGCTTGCGTATAATCCTTGACAGTACCTGAAACCTCTCTGCTTTGTTTGGCTCAGTAATTACCGAAATGACTACCGCTTCCCCAAAAACTGATTGAAAATACAGATTAAAACATTCTGCTTTTTCCTGATGTCACACAACATTTATTTTTATATTCTAATGCAGGTATAGATTCCTTGTTCCCCCTTTGCTGCCTTACGTATTTATAGCAACCCTGCCAACTAGTACGTTCATTACTTAGTATTTTACGGAAGGTTGTCGAGTACCTCGACGCTAGTTTTTAACCTTTATGCATTTTTCCAATCCTAGATGGCAGTATCGATTTAAGGTGGTTAGAGCGATAGAAGTGTTATGTTTAACATGTGTATTTTCATTGTATTAATCGAAAGATGAGAGGTTCCTCTATGTTCTGGTAGAGTTTGAATCCATTTTACTGTCCAGTTTTTGCAGTACGAGACCGTAAAGTTTGCTGTTTTAACATCGGCTCTTATGGTGACCTGACAGATTTGACCTGAGATTTTAAAATTGTGAGAAAATTAACTGTTGAACATGCTTTTAAAAATATTTCTTTTGGTAGCTAGCATCTCGAAGGATAAACATGAGCAATTTGAAGGAAATCTACCGCTTGAAATGGGAGAATGATGCAAAATTATAAGCCTAAATCAGTCCAAAGGGAGACGTTCGCGCGCTCTCTAGAGGGTCGGGACTGTGAAGCGCATCTCGGCAACACCGCGCGCGCAAAGCGCTTCATTCAAATCGAGTGACTAGAACTACAGAGTTCGTACATTTCTCTGGATTGGCTGGGAGCAATTAAAATTATCTCACTCCTTGAGAACATTGCGTTTGATAGTAACCAGATATTCAGAAAACTGGTATTTGATGGATATAATAATTGGTGCGATCTGTATGGAAATCCTAATTCCATTAATATTCCCAATGACTCACTTTGAGACTACTCTATATTTAAAAATGGGTGATCTTGAGAGTTTATAGAATTTTTTAAACATTGAGTTCAATATTATTGTTTTGTATTGTGCCGTATGTCAGTTTCTTGCTCCTGAACAATGATTATTTATTCAATTATTCAAAAATTATTCATATTCTTTTTTTTCTTACAGAGATACACAGTGGATTGTGTCTTTTGCACCAAAGATGGTTACACAGACTCTAGTAACAATCTCTAGCGTAGATCAGCACCTCAATCGGTATTGCTACTGAGTGGGCATTCAATTCAGAAAGAAATACGGTGTAGTGGCTTCAAATGTGTTGCAATGATAAAATACTGTTTTTGCTAGTGTTAATATCAGCCATTCAAGATATAGGTGAATGCAGAGCTGGATTTCCTCCTAGCAAAGTTAGGCTTAGGACTTCCATCCTCGTGCCCAGGTTTTTAAAAATAAACATACATACATATACAAGTACATATTTGAGTATTTGAGGATGCCAAGGTTCATTTAATGCAGCTGTCAGCCACTTTCTTGACGGAACAGTGGCAGTATGGTTCAATTAAATGTTGTACTGACGGACATGCATTTCCCTATCTGTACGTCTCGCAGCTTGAACTGAAAATTATTACTTTTGAATATTTTCATGCCAGAAAACTAACCCTGGGGTCACGGAGAGAGAAAGTTGATAGTGAACGCCACAGTGAAAATTTTTTTTACTGAACGCCTTCTGTGTAATATTTTATTCACGGCTTAAGATACTATATACTTCTTACACTGTGTCTTTAGTACAGTTTTCATCAAAATAACGCTGTTTAAGTGGCAGCGAACAACATTCACTTCGAAGAAATCAGGAAAGTAAAATTATAGCACCCTCCAAACAGTGGATTTCTCTTTTGAAGTGACTATGTCCAGTTAGCAGTATGGATTCAAAAAATTTGTAGCCATTTCTGAAAAAAATTGAGTTTTCAGTCTTTATCAGAAATAAAAGGGCATTTTGCCAAACTTCCAGGCTCTAGTCATTACATACTTTCACAATAGAAAACAGTCCTAACAAAGAAAATATTTTATTAACTGTAATGTATTACAAGTTAATGGATTACATATATGTTTCAGTGGCTACGGGTCAATAATATCAGCAAATAATTTTTCAGCACGCTCTTTTCGTTTCTGATTCTCTTCCCAATTATCTGGATTCCTCTTAAATACTGCCAGACCATGTATCTCAGAAAAGATGCAGCCCGTTTTAACACTCCTCACCACATCCTCAGAAGCAGCCAATTCTTTTAAAATAAATTTCTTACATTTCAGTGATGCCCAGAGCCAGATTTTGTCAAGAACCCTTGAGCCATTTAATGATGTTACTAAGGCAACATATGATCCCTGTAACATACAAAAACATCCATAAACTACACATTGTAAACTAAAAGGAAATATAAGTCATGATAATACTTACTTGTAATTTCATGAAAAATTTTGTTTTCTGTTTTTCTCCCACAACTTTACTATCTAAAAATGCATCTCCAAGATGACTTCCGTAACGATCACATAATAATTTCAATAGGTGTTTGGAGTCCATTTCCAGCAAAGCTTTTATAATCTGGGCATTCACATGCAAGTAAAAAATCAGTTATAATTTACAGACATGTATGTAATAGAGCATAATAATGTACTGGATTATACGATAATTTCCTAAACCTTCAAAACCAAAAAAATGTTTCATGGCAAACTTAAAAAATGTAATATTGAATTGAATCACTATAATGATCAGAGATCAGATTTTTAAGGGAATTCCTAATTTGTAAATTGGCCCCGGAAAGTTGAATAATTAACAGCATATTTCATAACTGTGTTCTAGTCACAAAATACAATAATACAATTTTAATGACCCCCCCCTTTTTTTAGCACTTTTGCAACTTATTGCAACTTTTTTTTTAAATTCCTTTTTGAAAAAAATATTGTGAAAATTCAGAAATTAGCAAAACATTCCAAAAATTATGTACAACAAGATCTGTTGCTTATTTGACACATGTAACAAGAGAGGTTTTCACAGAAATGAAATGCAGAAGAGAAAAGACAACTTTCATGTTATTTGATCTCACATGCTTTATCACTACCTCTAGAGAGAAATTCAGCAGAGACATTCTAGTGTTTCTCAGTTTCTGTGCAGCTTAGTTAAAATTATCTGACTGACAATTTCAAGTGGTAAAAACTGTCTTAATGAGATAAAGGACGATAGGGAAAGTTACGTATATTAATTGTAGTTTCCTATATTTATATATATTTCAACTTTTGTTGTGCTTTTCATTGACTAGTGTGATAGTGCCAGACTTTGTTAGTAAAATGGCAAAACCATGTGGAAGCAGAATCAAGTGATAAACTGTAGTGATAAACTTTAAGGATGATTTTATCCAAAATGACAGGAAGATTATTTGCGGTTCATTGTGTGATGTTAATACAGTATTAAGGTAGATAAGAAACATATAAAAGTCAGAATAATGCAACACGTGACATATGCAAAGTAACATAAAAACAGAAATTTGCAGTAAAGCTTCAAAGCAATCATTTATTTTCACTTCTCAATAGAAGGCAAAAGAAAATGGTAAGTAACAAAATGCACTTGGCACCTGCCATTGTGCAAAGCAGCATTCCCCTTCATTATATTAATGAGCCAGCAATGAAAAATATCTTAGAATAATACACAGAAAGATTGCTTCAGGATGAAAGTACACTAAGGAAAAATTACCTCAAACTAATCTTTTAAGCTGTTATATGAGAGTGAAAGACAAAATTGGAGACAATCTTATTGCTTTATTCTCGATGAAACTACAGACAGTACTTCAAGAGAAGTTTTGAACATGTTTGTGTTGCTCTTGCCAGGAGATCCATCAAAATCAATGTTGTTTGCAATATATGAATTAAGTTATGATATGAGAAAAAGTTATTAGTATAACTATCACACAATGTTTCAATGACAGTAACTGTATACTGTGGTTTCCAGGGATTCCATAGAGCAAAATATAGTAAGTTGTAACTGATCGAGAAACTTATAAGATTCAGCTTTTGCACAATTGAAAACTATGTAAGCTTACCCAGAACTCTGTCATGTAACATGCATTGCTCAGGGTAAGTGAGGCAATTGGAGTAGGAATACCATACTGCCAATAACTACATTTCTGAACTTAAGACGATGCTCACTAAAGCTTCTAGTAGAACACACAATGACAGATTGCAGATTTCCCACTGCCCAATTTTCCCATCATAGCCAGGTGAACAACATGGATTTTGTGTGTTATTTTTCTCTGTGAAAATTTTCAAGACAACTAAGGAGTATCTGCTGTCCTTGAATGATGAATTCGTAGCTGGCACACAAACAAAAGCTCTATTAAAGAACCCATAATTAGACATTTATATGCAATGAACCCTTTCAAATTTCTTCTCGAAGCCTTCACAAAACTTAAAGTGGAATGTTTATCAAAGGAGTCTCAGTAGAATGGGATAGAAGATGTTTACAGTATGCTTGAGAGTTTTGCAAAGAATAAACCAGAGCAAAATTTATCCAAAAATCCTGATGTTGAAAAACTAGTAAAAAGCATTAATTTACCTTCTTTCAATGTTGAAAAATTGTTTGTTTTTTATTCAAGAAATTTTGTGCATTGTGCTATTGAAGAGACCTGACAACTTAATCAGTTAAAGTTAAAATTTACATGTATTTTTCCATTTTTGGGCCATTTTAGAATAAAAATTCTCTCTTTAAAGTCTGGTTTTTGATTGAGGATTCTCCAAGTTCTATTTTCATTCATTTCTCTAAGTTCAAGCCTGTTCTGGTAATCAAACAAGCTCACTCTACTACAATGCATACTTATTAATTGAAAACAATTATCACGACCATTTCAAATAAATTCATGAAATTGGGCAACTATAATATAACCACAAAAAATAACATCTATAAATTGATAAGTTTTTGAAATTTAAATCACATTCTAAAATTAAAATGGCATTATTTGAGTTGAATATTAAGAGCATTAATACCAACCTTTATTGGTTCATTAAAACTTAACAAAGTCTGGATAAGAAGAGAACCTGGCAAAGTGACTGGCAAGTCAGCATTTTCATTTCTAGTCGTCATACTCCATGTTTCATAATCAACCCAATGTACAACTAACAATGGAAAAAGAACTTGTCGCTCAGGTTCAACACAATGAAAAGCAGCTTGAAGTTGCTAAAAAAAACAACAAAAGACACACACACAAACATTAAAAAACATTCTGTAATTTAATAACCCATTCAAAATATATTAAAATATAACTACAGAAGTAAATAAATAACAAAAGCAAAAATTACAAACTTTTCAAGCACTAAATTATACAAATGTTTTTAAGGTAACCAATAAACACAAATTGAAATTTCTTATCTGAATTAGTTTCTTGAATACGAATCATAGGGAAAGTATTGTAATGCTGCATGAAAAAGTTAAGCATTTTCATGGAAAAAAAACCCGCTTGGTACCAAAAGTAAATTTTTTCTCAAAATCTGTCTTTCTAAATTGAGCAAATTTCGCTTCTAAAAACGCTGCATGCCAATTTCTTTTTAACCACTAAAATTTAAAAAATCGCAAAACTTTAGAATTCTTGCATCTCTTTTAGTATTGATGATAAAGAATAAAATTGTTAGTTTCTCACATACTGGGTATGCAGTATGTGGCAAGTATTGTAATTCTGCAGAAAAAAAAAGGTGATTTTTCGACAGAAAAACTCTTATTGTGCGAACATGCTAGCAAAAGGAAATAAATATTTGGAAATAGAACCTTGCTACTAAAACAAAAGAGACTCTAACAAAAATTGGGCGTGTCGCATTTTTGTTAATATTACTAAATTTTCAAAAATTGCAAGATTCATTTTGTCAACATTATTGAAAATAAAGTTTTTCCTCAATAAAATCCACAAAAACCAAACTTGAAATAAGGTCAATACAATGTTTCCAAAAAAACTTTTAAACAATTATTTTCTAAAAAACCAAACCTTCTTCATTCTTTTCCTCATATGTAGTGAAGAACGGTAATGAAATTGGAGCTCGTCAATAGTCTGGGTAAAAACTGTATTTTTAGAAAATTGCAATAAAATTAACCCAGCAAAACAACAATATTGATAAAAGTTTTTTTAAATGATATCTGTTATAAATATCAGTTCTTTACAAAAGGTTACGCACAATTTTTTTAAAAAATACAAGTCATTTAGTGTAATTTTTGCTACACGCGTAGAATTCTAGCATTCTTTTCAGTATTGAATATAGATATACATTTATTTTCTCACAAACTGCATATGCAGTATAAAGTAATGTAATGCTGCAGGAAAAACTGTGACTTTTCACGAGAAAAACTCTTAGTGCAGAACTCTGATACCAAAAAAGGGAATCATTCTTCTTCCTATATGCAGTAAATGACTTACTCCTCTTAACACGTTGTTTAGCTAGATTCAACATTTTCTTTAAAAATTCCTTTTTTATCAATATTATTTAATTTCCTTTTTGTGATTAAGTATTGTTCATTATAAAACCAATTTTCAAAAAACAAAATGTTAACTGGTTAATTCTGGTTTTGGCAAGAATTCCACTTTATCCATAATATACTGCACAGACACATTACATATTCATTAGGGAACAGAATTTATTTAAAGAAAAATTGCAAAATATGCACTTTACATATTTTCTCCAAAACGTTAAAAAATAAAAATAAAACATCCCGCTTTAATCAGAATGTACAAAAGTAATTGTACACTAGTCCTCACCACACACAAGAGTTTCTTTCAAAATATAAAATACATTTGTATTATATTCAATATTTACAAGGAGCTTGTGCTCAACTGAACAGTAGTACCGCGTAGCCAGTGATGGATGGGGGAGTTAAACGGAACATACCTCCCCGCATCAAACAATGCGATAAGATAATGATCTGTAACAAACATTTGTTAGTTTGAGATTGAGTAACGAATGTGCCATTTGAAACCAGAGCAAGAATATGTTTGAAATTACTTCTGCTTCACAAACATCTGCTCATTGTAGTCCCAGAGTACACAGTTTTCAAGAAGCAGGGGGAGGAGTACATTTGACAAATTATTAATTTTTTTTCCTATTCATTATTTACTTATATTTTCTTGGGTGAATATCTGGCATTGCTCATCTCACCCACTGAGCTCATCACACACAGAACGTACATTGTGGGTTGCAT